CTTCCTTCCTTCCTTCCTTCCTTCCTTCCTTCCTTCCTTCCTTCCTTCCTTCCTTCCTTCCATCCATCCATCCATCCATCCATCCATGGGCATTCTGCTCTGGGCAGCAGGACTGATTAGGCACCAGGCGTCAGCATGCAGTTGCTTTATTTATGTGAGTCTAGGGATTTCATGTAAGACCACTAGACAGGTGTAAAAAAAAAAATGCCCCAACAGACAACTTGTAAAGTGGATCATGCCTGCCATCTATCCACCTCTATCTCTCATTTTGCCCAAAAAGAGCTAATGGGAGATGTCCCATTAGCTCTTTTTGGGCAAAATGAGAGATACAGCAAGTGAATGTGAGTGAATGAGAGAGGAAGAACAAGTGACAGATGAGTGAATGTGAGTGACCAGAAAGTGAGCGTGAAAGAAAGATGACTGAGTGAAAAAGACAACTGAGCTCAAGAGTGATAGCATGAGCGTTAGTGTGAGAGTGTAAGGCAGGGGAATGAGAGAGAGTAATGCAGCACATGCCAAAGCAAGAGAGAAGGTGATAACCATTGAGAAAGGCAAGCAAAAGACAGCACTGGAGGAAGAGCACAAGCAAGAGTGATAATCTGAAGATTATCCACAGAGTGAGTGAGAGCTTCTCAACAAAGCAGGAAGCCCTCCACTCACTTTGCAGATCAGGTTTCAACAGGTGGCCATATCCATCATTCTAGCCCAAAGTTTCTCAACCTTGGGAACTTTTAAGATGTGTGGACTTCAACTCCCAGAATTCCCCAGCCAGCCATGGTGGCTAAGGGATTCTGGGTGTTGAAGTCCATACATCTTAAAGTTCCCAAGGTTGAGAAACTCTGTTCTAGCCATTTGTTGAAACTCACCTCCTCCCCCAGCCTGTTTCAGAGACAGCAGCGGAAGGATGTTTTTCTCACGACCTGGAGATCCATCAACCACTGCCCCTTAACTTGCTCTATCAGAAGAGCACCACTCACAGAGAAGAGCTCATTACAAAGGCAGGGATAGAGACCAGCTATCAAATTATGCTGACACGTTTTTGTGCTGCCTCGGGGAAGGAAAGCCACATTAAATTGGCTGTCTGGATGTGCCCTTATTCAGCAAACAGGCTCTTCAGGAGTGTTAACAGAGCTGATGCCAAGCAAGTAACATACACTGGTCCTTAGGAAGAAGTTTCTCCACCTCCCAGATTTATCTCTGATGCAAGTTCCCATATCCTAGATCACCAACAGGATTAGATGGTCATTTGGCAAGAAGAGACCAACTTTGACTTTCTGAAGGCAAAACGTTCTCTTTCTGAAGACAACATTTCCATTTTGGGGGTACAATCAATAGGAGGCAGGAATGAGGTTAAAATCAGCAATGTTTATGAGGTTAAAAAATGTAACTCCTTCCAGAGAATGACAAGAGCTACTTTTCCATAGGTTTACTCTTGTAGCACCGAGAAAATCAAGACGCCACTCTTCTTCCCAAAACATCTGGCCCTGATTTTTCTTCTGCTGCCTCCTTCAAAGAGAGGCAGCTGTTCCTTGACTTTACTACATTCCAAATCTGAACTCCACCTTGTAGCAGGAAGTTTGAACAGATAATAACACGTAGCTTTAAAATACCAAAAGATTTCCTTTGCTTTTCCTTGGGCAGACTGATCAGCTTGCACCTCTCCCTTCAGAAGCTGGGACAAGTTGGGTGTGGAGTTACTTCCTCAAGAAAGTGTAATTTGGGGGAAGAGGAAGAAGAGAAAGTTCCTTTGGTTGTCTGCAGGCAGGTGGCAAATCTCCCTGCAAGCACAGAAGTAGGCAAAAATCAGAACTATAAACAGCGATCAGGATTATCTAAACCAAATAATGTTGACTTGGCAAATCACAGCTCTTACTTATTGGGTACATGGGTATGTTTTTTTAAACAAAGATTTTTAGGCCACCTGATTTACAGATCATCTTTGACTAATTTCTGCTCTAATTTCTCAAAGTTCTGGAAGCTGAAAGAAGTTAGATTTTACAAGAGGGATCTACCACAAAAAGGTTGCAGTGTTTCAGCTCAGGACCCTAGCAGGTCATGAATGACTTCAAAGAGTAGCAAGAAGTTTTCTAAAATATTTCCTGCTGCTCCATTTGCTCCCCCTGTTTTCCGTCACAAAATACTTCTTTTAGATGTATGAGCTCAAAGCTGTGTATATAGCACTGTCTCCTCCAATTTTATCCCCGGAACAACTATCTTAAAAGGTAAGTAGGATTAAAGGATAGAAGTTGTGGTTATACAACATGCAATACCTTAAATCCTTATTCACAAAACACAACTGCAATATTCATTTAACACATAATCCAAAGGATGGCTTTTATACAACATGTTCAGAAAGTTGTTGAGCGTCACAGTAGGCTCAACCACCAGCCACCCAACTTTATTTTAGCCTAGTTTATCATGTTGTACAAAACTAGCTTATGAGACTGGGAATCTCCCATTTTCTTCTCACTGCACCCTGTATTGATAGATTTTTTCCCCCTCCAATGTGAAGTTAATAGTACAGTATACAGAAGCAGGGAACAAAATCCTACATATTGAAATACTTTTTAGGATCTTATTTTCACAGATTAAAATAGTATCTCCAAAGTTAAGAGACAGTGTTAGATCTAAACCCAGAATGTATTTGTCTATTTATTTAATGCAAGTATTTCTATACCACTCAGGACAAGAGTGACTTCTGGCCACCTACATAAAATATACCAAGGGTTGGACCAAGTCCTTCTACCATCTGGAATTACTGCAACTTCTTAGTGGAAGAAATAGACAAAAGAAGAAAATACTGCAGGTTTCATATGTTTATTATTTGTTAAATGGTCCCTGTTCTGTTTTGTTGTTTTTGCTGCTTGCTTACTAGATTATTTTAGTCTGGGTTGTCTGTTTGATTCAATGTTTTTAGCCGTTTTTATGTTTTCTCTAGTTTTGTACTCCACTCAGAGTCCACTGGGCGGCCAATAAATTTAAATAAATAAATAAATAAGATGGTGCTGATAGCAATGAGGTGCAAGATAAGCAAAACCAGAATGACCCACAGATTGACTTCTCCCCAAGCCCCTTCTATCCATTCAAGAGGAGTGGGGAGACAACCAGGAGTGCATGCTGAAAGAACAGAGGTACTTGCCTTATACAACTTGCAAACCAATTCGAAGAGAGACTCCTCTGCTTGCGTTTGAAGTTTATCAGTGTGGACCTGAGAAAAATAAAGCGGAGGGAGACATTTTCACCATGACAGTAGCCAAGTGAGTCTGGTTGCTCTGCAAGCAGATTTCACAGAGAGACTTGAATACTAGCACTGTGCAAAATGTTTATAGAATTCTTTAGGAATTGAGTTCAAACGCTCAAAACAGCCATTCGTAATGCACTCCAAGCTCAAAGGGGTCCTTTGTTGAGCCTGAAGGGCGTTTTCAACCTCACAGCACTTCAAAAATGATCAGAGTCGCATCAAAAAGCATCCAGTATTGTCACATCAACCTGCTTTAAGCTTGAAACACTTGGAACTTGAATGGGGGGTTTAGAGCTTTGAATGTTATTCTCTTAGGGCAGCAAAGAAAAAAAAAAGAAATTAATCCTTTCTGTTTTAATACTAATATAGTATTTTTACCACATAACCCAAATAACAAGCAAGGAATGCAGAATGCTTTCTGACACTGTAACTAAACAGTTGACCCTGAGGCAAAAAAATGAATAAGAAAATGGGAGGCTAAATCTGCTCAGCAAGAGGCAGCCAGAATTGGGGCCCTCTTATCGCCATCAGCTGAATGTTCGGTCAGGAGCAAACAGAAGGCCCAGCTTCCCAGCTCCAAGGGGCAAATTAGGGAAACAAAAAAACCCAAGCATCAAATTCAAAGTTTGGGTCCAAGTAGGAGTCTATACTATGTCATTAACTATGATCAGCACATTTTCTCTCTGTTTCTATATAATTTTCACTGTCCTAATAAGCTCAGGGCTCTCAGTTTGCTTCGGCTGGAGCCCAGCGATTACGGCATTGGTATCTTACTAAAGCAAATCAAACTCAGATCCTTACTGCTCTGGTTCTCGTTTTAGGGGAGAAGCACCCCGCACATCATTCTTAAATAGACCCCTTCTCCCTGCCAGTCTGGTGCCCCTGAAGAAGGGAAAGATCAACTTGGTATTTTTGGAACCAAGCGAACAGTAGTTCCTACGTCCCCAAATTCCTGTAAGTAGCCCCAGAAAGCAGTTGATGCCAGGTTCTTGACCTAAACCAGTATATTGGTAACAAAAGAACCAGGACTGGAGGGGCAGATCAGAACATTTCCCAGCCTCATTTTGGGGTCCTGTGAAGTCCTCTGAGGACAGAATGACTGTTCAGCAGCAAATTGTGGAAATACAGTGGTATAATTTTCTGCTTAAAA